GGCCTAAGCCAGCAGGTGGTCATCCCCTGAGGGGTCCCAGACTGCGAGAGGGCACAGGCCAGGCTGAGGGACCCCCCGAGTGCACAAATTTGTGTGCACCGGGCCTCTAGTAGTATATAGAAAGAGAATGAGCATGTCTTTTCTGGAAACAAAATCCACCTTGCCTTTTATTTATTTTTCCCTCAAGTGATTACAAATTGGCACTGTCTGTTAAAGGAGGCCTTCTCAGGCAACTAACTTTTGAACGCGAGGACCTTGAGAGAGGCTGGGGTTGGAGCAGGTGCTGTCTCTCGCGAGTCCTCTGGCTCTGAGAAGGGCATTGCAATGTGCCAAATACTCTTAAAACCAGATAGAGAAAATTCCAATAGTTCCATCACATTTTTAGCCAGGATAAAGGACCAATGATGACCTGTGATCTGGATCAGAGACAGTATGGGATAGAAGGCAGGAGATATCCAAGGAAAATGTAGGCAGTTTTTGCCCAAACCATATTTCTTCTCCACCTGCTCCTGCCAACCTGCACTCCAAATCCTAAAGGACCGCACACACGGCAGTCACGGCTGAGGGGTATGAAATATCCACTCAAACGGCACAAGTACAGAGAGAGAAACAATCTTTATTGCAGAGAACACTCTAATACTGTGATTTTTAAATAATGCATAATATTCTTGGCAAGCCTTAACATTTTTACTAGTATTATTAACTTTGTGATAAATCTTTATAAAATACTTTATTTGATAAGCTGAGGAAATAGCTGCTTAGACGAAATCAATATACTTTTCCTCTCCCAGGAAAGCTGGGTCACCTGTGTATTCGGAAGGAGAGGCTCAGTCTAGTTTAGTCAGAGGAGGGAGCATTACAGGTGGAGCAGTTGAAGAGCAAGGTCAGAGCAGTGGTCAAGTTGAGCAGGAGACAGCAGGGAAGTTGGCTAGCTTGCAGGATTTTCTTCAGTGTGCATATCTATAATAATCTACACTAATAAAAGAGAAACATGGTAATTGGCGTACGACCGCTACCCTTCCCATTGGCTAATCAGCATATCCTTATGCAAATTAACTGTCAGCCAAGATGGCGGCCGGCAGCCAGGCAGCTGGAAGCAAGCAGGGAGGCTCACTTGCTCCAGTGACTGCAGACGCCAACGTTCCCCGCCTAACTTGCCGGCCTCTGAGTTGCAACTCTAAGCAACTATGTACTATGTTGCAAATGTAGAAGCTAAACAAAACCCCAGAAACCAGCTTTCAGCTGCCGGGATCTCAGAGCTGAAGTTATACATTGTTTCGATTATAGAACGGCAAACAAACCAGATACGAAGCCTCAGAGCTAGAGCCAGAGCTAAAGCTGGCCCAGAATAAAATAAAAAAAAGAGAAAAAAAAGGAGCGGTTGGGAGCTTCAGTCAACAACCGCCAGCCTGAAAGCAGCCCTCAGCCCCTCACCCAGACTGGCCAGGCACCCCAGTGGGGACCCCCACCCTGAAGGGGGTGTGACCAGCGGCAAACAGCAATCATCCCCTCATCCAGGCTGGCCAGGCACCCCAGTGGGGACCCCCACCCTGAAGGGGGTGTGACCAGCTGCAAACAGCCATCATCCCCTCATCCAGGCTGGCCAGGCACCCCAGTGGGGACCCCCACCCTGATCCAGGACACCCTTCAGGGCAAACCAGCCAGCCCCTACCCATGCACCAGGCCTCTATCCTATATAGTAAAAGGGTAATATGCCTCCCAGCACCGGGATCAGCGGAGCAGCGAGGCTCCCGGCACCGAGATCAGCGTGACAGGGGGCAGCGCCCAAACCCCCTGATCGCCCTGCAGCTCTGTGTGTGACAGGGGGCGGGGCCACAACCTCCCTATCCGCCCTGCTCTGTTCGTGACAGGGGAAGGCGCCCCAACCCCCTGATCAGCCCTGCAGCTGTGCCTGATAGGGGGGAGCTCCCCAACCCCCTGATCGCCCTGCGGCTCTGTGTGTGACAGGGGGCAG